AAGACCCGGGTTCGAATCCCCACATGGGTACGATGTGTGAAGCCCATTTCTGGTGTGCCCGCCGTGATGTTGCTGGAATATTGCTAAAAGCGTCATAAAACCAAACTCAGTCAGTCTGTAAAAGGTTAGTCTTTGACAGTTAGCAGGACCACCTCCGTGATATAGTGGTTAGAGCGTCCGCCCTCAGAGCGGAAGGTCGCGGGTTCCATCCCTGATCGCGTCATACTAAAAGACGTTCAAATATGGTACTTGTTGGTCCCTGTCTGGCGCTCGACATTAATGGGTACTACAAGGACTGGTCGGCTCGGAGTCAGTATAATGTGTGGTATTAATGCTTTACTGCGGCATGGTATCTCAGTGGGATAGCACTATAAAACCAGCTTCAGTCTGGGCTAGTACAAGCAGCCGCACATACGCATACACACACATGCACGTGATCATATGAGCGACATATTCTCAAGCATGACGTTAAACCCAATTTCACCTCACTTCACCTCTGTAAAAGGTTAGTCTTTAACAGTTAGCAGACAGTAAACATTCAGAGTTATTGCCCTTGTATTTTATAGGTTATCATGTTGTAGTATTCACATTGGCAAAACATTTCCCCAAACAACATATCCCAGCAGGACATATGGAACTGGTACCTCATCTGTCAACAAGGAATGTTGAAAAAAGCCATTCCACTCAGTTTCCAGTTAGAAACAGTTGAATTCAAGGCAAGATGAAATATGAGATAACATGTATTTATTAAAGTATACATTTTTTTGTAAATTCTTAAGAATATCTTCCCTAGAACTTCTGGAATGACTTGATTATAAGCCAATAGGTTTTCCCTTACATCATCTTAGCTTGCAGGGGTTTACTAATTGTATGGACTATCCAATAAAAACCTAATATGTCAAAATATCTGTATCTGTCCTTTTCACCATGGTAGTTGCCATCGAACAGCTCTCAGTTACAACTGAATATCACGTTTTCTTTGGAGGAGGTATTTTATTGGACTCTTAATGCATGGCATTTGTTTAGTGGCAGATCCTCCTTGACAATTGTTTGATGAGCTTAATTATTTGATCGGCAGTCCAGAAGTTGGTGAGTCAATAATAAAGCATGAACTTTAGGGATAACAACTTCTTGTGTATTTCATAGAACGACATCTCTGTGTAGATTCTTATGCTGTTATTTAGCTTAAATCTCACAATACTGCTGTACACTCATAAACAAAATAATGATAATGGGTTTTGAAAGTCTATGTTTCAATGTTTCCCTTGCCTCATTGGTATGATCTGCGATCAAAATACGCCCAGCTTCAATGACTCATATTTTATGCAACATATTTTCATCAGTCAATACTAATTTGTTTTCATACAAGGCAACAAAATGTTGTTTCTGCTCATTTGACTGGGCCTAAAAGAATCTGTTAACGTGGCATTTTACTCTGTTGGAGGAAAGTAGGTTATAGATAGCTGCCCTTGGTTCAAAATCCATAAAACATAAAAGGTGGACACTTAACTTTAAAAATGATGACAAACGCTTTTTGTGTTTACCCAAATAAACACTGAAGAATCACCTGTAGCTATTGCTAAACAGAATATGTAGTATATTTACATTGTGTGATCTGCAGTAGTGTCGGATACAAATATATTTCTGATAAGTAGGTCTGGCTTGTGACTCACAAGTGTAAATAGCCCATCTTGAATGTTGCAGGTCCACATTGGGATGAAAGGCCCCAAGCATGACATACAAATAGTGCAGTACATGTTCTGTGAGGGGGTTAATTAGCACTTTCTTTGAACTCGCTTTTTCTTTTCTGTCCTATTCCTCCATTGAATGTTGTTAACAATTGCTGAAATAATCTTCTAAAAATTTAAGATGTCGTCAAAACCTTCCAAAAATATATCTTTCCTCTGCTATAATATGACAGCCTAATCTACAGACATCGTAAAAACAACATGCCACGGAGAATAAACAAAAATGATAAACAATGAGTGCTATATCACTCGGTGTTTTGATAGAGGGAATTCATTGTCGGTGACATAAGTACTACATGATGTTTGCGTGGATGAACCAATCAGAAGAACAATTTGTATGGATTGACAACTTATTTATAGCAAGAGATGCAACGTTTTGGTGCATATGCTAACACCGTCATCAGCAAGTGAAACACAATGTTATGTATGTTAGCGTGTACACCGAAACATTGCATCTATTACTATGTAAGAAGTTGTCAGTCTATGAGAATTGTTCCTCATAGCGGTCATAGTTGACTGACCACATGTACAGGTGAGCTACAGAGCCCAATGTATTATATTAGTATACAGGCTAGAGTGAAGATTGGCTTGTGCCAAGACTCACATTAAGTATCCCTCATGGATGCTGTTAGTGAAACCTGTTCTTGGTGTTATTAATTGTCCGACAATTGTTCAATGTTGTTGACTCCCTGATGTGTGGATTGTGTGACGTTAATATCTTACCTTTCTCACCTGGAGTTGCTATAGCAACGTAAGCTGCTGTCCCCCTCTCTGTGATGACACCTCAGTCTTACCATGTTGTTCTGGGATGGTGAAAGGTTGACACAGGTCATCTGTTGCTCACAATCTGATGTAAATAGTTTATGATATACCTGATACTTGGAAGTGATATCCTGTTGCAGAATAAAAGACTTTTTAGTCTACTCTACACATCAATAGGTCAGTAGGTACTTCTAGTGTGTGATTCAGGTAATGATCCACAATGATTTTAAGTGTTCATAGTAACTATAAGCTGATGTGAGAGGTGTGGGAATTAAAATCTTGTAATTCAGTTGCACTGGCTTGTTTTATTTCCTAACCAATTTAAGATTTCCAAACTCATGGTAAGTTTTATAATTTGCTGTTATAATCATGCACAAGAAGTTACATTTGTTGTCCGAGATTGAGCGAGACAGCAACCAACATTCAGAAACATTGATGAAACACTAATGTTTCTAAATACATGTTTTGCATCTACATACAATGTAGTATTTTCTGTGTTGGAATCTTAATATGACTCTTTCAGGGTAATACACAATGCAGAAATATGCATCCATTATGCACATATCTATAGGCAGGCCACAGGAAAAAATGTATCTTTTGTCCCTTGGGACGTACTTTAATTTTCAGCCTGCACCAAATTCTCAACAAAAAATATAAAGATCCTGTTCTAAACATAATTATTACATCTTACATTACAATGTGCGACACTGTTACTATACTTTATTACATTACAAGACTCTCATATTTCCTGTAAGAACCGTGAAGTTAGTATTTGGGGATCCCTAGGTGTATGGGCCAAGGTAGAACACTGCTCATTGATTTGCCGTTTCATTGTCTCACTGTCAAACTGAACAATCTGACATCAGGGCGGTGGGGTAGCTCAGTGGTTAAAGTGTTCGCTGGTCACGCTGAAGACCTGAATTCGATTTCCCACATGGGCACAATGTGTGAAATCCATTTTTGGTGTCCCCCGCCTTGATATTGCTGGAATATTGCTATTGCTCCCTCCCTCACTCATTAACTCACTCACTAACTCACTCCCTCGTTCACTCATGCTGTATATATAATGTGTGTGACCATGCTAAATGATCATTAATTCTGTGACAAGTATTCCTTGAAACCTGAACACACTAGCAAACGCGTTCACAAAGGCCTCGATTCAGTTTCCCACATGGGTACAATGTGTGAAACCCATTTCTGGTGCCCTCCTGTCGTGATATTGCTGGAATATTGCTAAAAGCGGCGTGAAACTTAACTCACTCACTCACATACTACAATCACACACATCACATAGCAAAAACATATTGGGATCGCACAGGGGATCATTTTAAAGTTAGCCTAAACATAACAGAAGATATTCATTTCCCAACAATTTTTTAAAGCTAAGTTGCCAGCTTTGTTTGCCCATCCTCTGTTATCTAGGGTATAATGTCTGTTAAGATAAGATCCTAGGATCCACCATAGTTTTGTTTCAGCCTTAATTAACATGATGCCAGAAATTCTCATCCAATCTCATCCGTCCAATCTAGTCTCCACTAGAGCCCTTTTCCATACCCAGATAAATTCTGAAAGTATTGCTGTAATTATGATATTCATGTGTCCATATTTCCCCATAAATACCCTGAATGCATCAACAAAACATAGTTAATTGAACTATGCACACATGAAATATTATTTAGGAGGTCACGTGACCGTCGCCATGTCGCTGCCTGGCTGTATCGAAGGTAAATTGATTGGCGTTTCAAATTTTAATAATTACATTTTGTCAACAACAAATCAGTTCATTGGTTGTATCAATTTCCAAAGGGATAGTTTGTTGTCTCCGATTCGACAACGGTTAACACAGAAGAAGTCTGTCAGTGTAAATCATAGTAGATCTATTCAGTTGTAGACCAGACCATCCATTCCACGTGCTATATACGATGACAGTTACCCCAAAAAAAATGATATATATGTGTTTAATGTTTGCTTTGCAGGTAATAATGCATAACACAAACACCATACAAATGACACAATACACGTTTCCAAGAAACAGACTAATTCTTTTAACCTTCTTACAACCCTTCCATCTTGCAGATTTCCGGAGTAGTTTATTAATATTTGCTGTGACCATCACAAATATGCCCAGATCCCACGACGTCGTCATCGGTCCGTCGGTGGCTACTATGTACAGTCAGCAAGTCGACAGTGGCTGATGCATGTACATTGCATCTAGCTGCCCAGCTGAGCGTCTGCCAGCTTGTTTGTTGTAACAAAGTTCCATAAAGTTATGCAACGTTGTTACATATTTATTTTCGCAAACAAGAAGCGTTATTTATGGTGAAATCCAATTCTGGATATGAGAGTATATCTTTAGCAAATCTAGCACATAGCTTTAAACAATCCAGATGTTGGAAATAAAATACAGACCTGTTTGCTGTAGCCTACAGTTTCAACATTATGTAACAGCCAGATCACATAAATTTGTAATTAGCTTTTGTTTGTTTAAAGAGAGGCCTATGGATGCTGACTAAATAAAAAATATTGCCACAGGTCGGGTAATGCTTCTCCATTAATCCGACTTGAGTGAACAGCTGTATGTGTGTGTGTGTGTTTAAAGATGAAAAGAATAAAATAGATTCCTAACTCTGTACAAGATTTTGTTATTTGTGGTGGACTGTGTGATTCTGTGTTTGGTTTGTAAGACCACACACAGCAATAGACATGTTGGGATATGACGAATGACGTCACTCAACCAAGTCAGCGAGCCTGACCACACGATCCCGTTAGTCGTCTGATACGAAAAACAATTGTAACCGGATCTACGGGTAGCCTATAGACCAGCAATAGGATGATGGTTACAAATGCTGTCTGCTAGGGTGCAGTGGCTTGCCACCTGTGGGCCATCGAAGATCAGCTTCACAGGCCATGCTATCTGGGTGGTCCTAGAGGTCACTTCTAGGTAAACATAGAATATTGTCTTCAGTGTTCAATCGGAACTGTTGTAACATACCGTTGGCGCAATGCACAAACCTTCAAAGTGTAGTAGATACAGTACTCTTATATATGCAGCGATGTGTAGCATATGGACTCGTAATCAGGCTTAATCGGAACTGCAGGGGTTAAACATTACAGAGTCCACTGTCGTTTAGGGTACTGTTCTGTGTTCTGGCTTCGGCTAGTATAAAATCTGGGATATATATCAGTGGTCCTTGTGTCCACACCGACTCCTTCAGCTGAAACAATCACTCAGTCAGTAGTATTTCAGTGGGGGAGTGAACACAACTGAATTGGTGAACGGCACATTTGGCAGTGTTGAGTAGGCTATATTAAGTGTCTGAAATTGTCACAGTTCACCCAGTACTGATTTTCTTAACGATACTGACAGATGATAAGCAATACTATCCTTAGAATTGAATACAGTTTGTCAATACAGCGTGACGCCAATGCAGCTTATGAGGAATTTCTTAGATGCTTGTATACTGAGTTAGATGATAAAGTGGGTACTCTTGGCAGTAAGTGTAAGGTTAAAGGTAAAAGTTTGTATAAACCGTATTGGTCTGTTGAGTTGAAATCGGCCTGGGACCTTGTAGTGGAAAGCGAACGGTATTGGATGAAATGTAAAAATAACTCTCAAAAACGGGATCTCAAGCGGGTATTATCTCATACCACAAGCCATTTGACAAATGAATAGGAAATGCAAACGGGCGATTATCAGTTACAACGTCAACAACAGCTATTAAAGAAATACAAACAGGGTGATAGAAGGATTTATGAAAGGGGAACGGTAAGATTAGCTTGACTAACGAAAATAGTTCGCCGTTCCATGGGAGGTAATTTGCGATGGTAAAGTAATCACAGACAGGACTCGTGTTTTAGAACAATTGAAATCTGACTATAGTTCGTTATATATTTCCAATCCTGCCGGTGTGTTTGATGATTCCTTTCATCAGCAAATTAGTGAACAGTTAAATAAGGGAAACCATACACACCTCCCAGTGGCGGATCCAGGGAGGGGTGGTTCAGAGATTGGGGTGGGGGTGACCCGCTAGGTTATGGAGGTATCTCTTCTTTCAATTCCATGCAAGGTATATTCCGATATTTTTAAACCCACGTCTTACTAACTGGCATGAAGCTAATGCAAATGACATTCTCATAACCTACAAACGTTAACTGATATGTCTTTTCTTTTCAATTGAACGAATCTAACAAAACAAACAAGACAGATTTAATCAAAAGTATTTCTACATTCAATATGTTTTGATTACTAATTAATGGTGAACTGCAAATACAAACTTCTTCCAGTATGTAAACTAAACAAAATATAAATAACGAACGTCCTCACAACGTTATGAGAACGTTGCATTAAGGTATAAACAATACGTTGCAAGGACGCGATGATAAGGTAATGTGTAACGTTGTGTATTCACATGTATTTTAGAGTGAATGCGAGAACTTAGTTTTATGCCGCGACTCAGCAATATTACAGCCATATGGCGGCAGTGTGTAAAACTGAGTGTGTACCAGACAATCAAGTGATCAACAACGTGAGCATCAATGTACGCAAACAAATTACGATGACAATGTGTGAGACAAGTGAGCGAGCCTGTCCACCCGGTGCCATAAGTAGCCTCTTCGACTAGCATGGGTTACTGAACATAAATTCTAACCCGGATATGATTGATTTTAGAACTACTAGAACTGATAAATAGGTAGATTGATTGGCTTTTTAATTAAATGCATGTTTTGTTTCAGCATGGCTGATACTTCATCTATGACTGGGGATGACCTTGTTGGTCAACTCCAGCAATGGTGTATAGACCAGGCGGCCAAGTCCGCGTCCGACCTCAAGATGCTGGAAAGCAGGACGGAAGTGAAACTCAAAGAACTTGAGGGGAGAATGAATAACCTGTCGCTTAAATATAGCCACACAGGTTGCAACGGATGTTAACATCAGACTAGAGAATTGTATGAAACAAACCAAATTGGACATTCAAGATTTCAAAGGGCGAAATTTATGAAGAGGTATGTACATAAGGAATAGTTCTTTTCTGACACTCAAGATTATAAATTAATATTTCATGATACTTTCATGTACCACATTATTAAATAACAAACCGTATTCAACCTTCAGATCAAGACGGCTGTGAACGAATCGATGAGGAAGTGCTTCCTGAGAGCAGCAAACGCGGGGATCGCGCAGTGGATGACGAGCAGCCCTCCAGGCTGTTGCCGTGTGAGCACACCCATGTGCCCCAACTCCACGCCACTGCCAGAGTGTTCCCTGGAACAACAAGCCGAGCCTCCAAGGCAAACAAGGTACAAACTGTGGCAACGAATGACTTGTGAAGAAATTTAGGAGTGGCGCCAAGTGACACTATGATCATGCTAAACCTAATTTGAAAAATAGGCTTATATTAAGTTTGAATATTGATGGGACCTGTCATCGGATATGCCTGATACATATGTTGGAAGCACATTTCTGGACTCACTCGCACATATCTTACATTATTCACGTTTATATTATTTACAGGTTTGTACAGTCACTTGAGGACTTGTCAACGGAATGGAGCGAGACCTTGTCACCCTTCTGGCCAAAGCAACTTTCCAAAAGCGAAAGGCTGAACAGAGTGCAGGTGGCATTTTTGAACTACATGATCACAAAGAAAGACCTCAAAGGTAATAGAGACTGTGCACAGTACGTGATCAAGGAGGGTAGAAACTTGAATTTGTGGAGTTCTGTCTGGAAACCACAGGGAATTACTACCAGTTTTCAAGATTACATGGTGCAAAAATATTAAATATAACTAAGCGGGCCAAGTTGGGTCTTTCTAGGCGCCGAATTGACCTAGGCAAAATGAACTCTGACCTGGAAAAGCGAACAAATTCCTTGCTGGCCCCAGCAGAGGGAGAATGCACTGAAGAAACAGACACGGAAATGGAAGTGTGAATTATGCTTAAGAGATTGATAATACTACCCATCAAATATGTTAGTTTAGACTCACTTAAAGCATTATGGCTATATGTTAGGTATAAACATGTGGTTACATCAAGGATGGATTTCTCCACTAACTTGTGAACAGCTGCGTTTTGGTGTAAAGTTTTGTTAAGAATTGGCCAAGTTTCACTGATTTTCATCATTTACTGAACTCTAATGTTTTCAAGGTTACGAATATGTTTTGCAATACATCAGTTCATGTGTAGGCAGTACCTTTAAACAGAATGGAATATTTTTCATGTGTAGGCAACATATAGTTTAGGACAATTGACTGAAGTAAGTGTCTACATTTCCACTAGTGAGTCTAAACTTTTGATGGATAGTTGGATATGCATATGATATGATTGTATTTTGGATATGGGTTTTACTAAGCCTACTGTGTTGGAAAATCAGAGGTATATAACGAAATGATAATACCCATAAATGTTTCATTTGAAACCTCACGCTACGCTTATTATAATTTGGTTATATACCTCTGATTTTCCAACACAGTAGGTTTATCTCCATTCTAACCCGGAAGGTACTGGGTTAGAATTGATCTTCAGTAACCCATGCTTGTCGTAAAGGCGACTATGCTTGTCGTAAGAGGCGACTAATTAACGGATCAGGTGGTCAGGCTCGCTGACTTGGTTGACACATGTCATCGGTTCCCAATTGCGCAGATCGATGCTCATGCTGTTGATCACTGGATTGTCTGGTCCAGACTCGATTATTTACAGACCGCCGCAATATAGCTGGAATATTGCTGAGTGCGGCGTAAAACTAAACTCACTCACTCACACTATCTCCATTCTACCATGATAAATTTATGAACAACAATTCAGTTTGAACTCTTTCTTTGGTTACGAGTCAGTACGTGTTCGTAAGATATAGTTTAGATTTGTTATGTTTCATGATTAATGAGGGTGTAGAAACCGATATGGAGAAAGACGGTTGATATTGTGCTTTATGTGACGTAGAGAAAGAAAATAAAATTAATTTTACACTAATATGTACTTGTTATCATGAATTATCACAGAAATTCACACCAGACCATTTTCTTGCAAAGCAACCCCTATAAACATAAGTAGGGTTAAGTGAAATATGAGGTTAGGTTTTGGGGCTAGGTTTTTGCTGAAACCATAGCTTACACACAAAGCCGATGGTTAGGTTTCATGGTGATGTGTTTGGTAAGTAAGGTTAGTCCCAAACATGACGGTTAAGTTGTTTGGTGAGACCATATAGGTTAGACCCAAACACGACAGATTGGTTTTTGGGTGAGGGTTTGGGCAATACCCTAGGTTAGACCCTCGGTGAGACCCAAAGATACCAGTTACGTGTTTTGTGGGGTTTTTCGGTGAGACCATAGGTTACACCCCAATATGGCAAGAATACATGACAACTAACTTTTATGGATAACAACTTCTTTTTATTCTTTACACGATGTTTAAGAGCTAATTCTTGCTCCTTCATCAGGTGAATGCTGAGTGAGTGCAAAGTTCGGATAAGATAAGATAAGATAATGTTCTTTCTTGGGGCCAATAACAATGATATTGATGAAATAACAAGGCATTTCACTATTATAGAATTCTCAAAGTATAAACTAAAAAAAATATCCTCAATTACCTGTGGTAATAATC